CCGTTTTGCCACATCGTAGGGTTTATAAGACCCATTTAGGAGTCATAAAAAAAAAGGAATATTAGTTATTTAAAACTATCAGATTTAGGAAGAATTATGAACGAGTGATTGCTTCTAAGTATGGGATTCTTTTGTAATTTGGTAAGAAAAAAAAAAAAAACACCTCTTTTCAAGTTTATTTATTTGTTTATTTTGAGTCTGGGTCTCACTCCAGCCTGGCCTGGAACTCACTTATGTAGACTGGATTTGCATTGGATTCACAGAGATCCATCGTTCCCTGCCTCACAAATGCTTGCACTATAAAGGTGAACTTCAGCATACTCTGCAGTGAAAAGATTTGGGCCTGGAGAGATGGCTCAGGGGTTAAGAGCACTGGCTGCTCTTCCAGAGGTCCTGGGTTCAATTCCCAGCAACCACATGGTGGCTCACAGCCATCTGATCAGGTGCTGTCTTCTGAGGCCCAGGCAGAACACCATATACTTAGAAAACAAAAAACAAAAAGCGGGGCGGAGGTGGTGCACGCCTTTAATCCCAGCACTCGGGAGAAGCAGGCAGATTTCTGTGAGTTCGAGGCCAGCCTGGTCTACAGAGTGAGTTCCAGGACAGCCAGGACTATTTCACAGAGAAACCTTGTCTCAATAAACAAAACAAAAACAGACAAAAATCAGAAAAGAAAGAAAGAAAGAAAGAAAAAGATTATATTCTTAAATTAGGTAATGGTCACCTGTGTACAACTCTGTGAATACACTAAAAACAACTAAATTCTGTGCAGCAAGAGCTTATATAAGGAATCGAACCCTGGAACTCGTAGATGTGGTGTGAGCCTTTGTATGTTTCATGAGTTATAGTTATGTTGGATTTTTAAAAGAAAATCAAGTCCACTGAGGTACAATTTAGGTACAACAAAATACACTAATCGTATCTGTTTATTTTAAAACACACCTTTAAGAGGTTTCTTTCACGTGCTTTGCTTGCACGTATATATGTGCAGTAGGTGACCTGTGAAGGCCAGACAAAGGCATGGGATCTTCAGGAACTGGAGTTACAAATGGTTGTGAACAACCATGTGGGTTCTGGGAAATTAATTTAGTTAGGTCCTCTTAGAGAAGAGAAAGTACTCTTAACTGAGCCATCTCTCTAGCGCCAAGAAAGCACTAATTTTAAAGTGAGCTGTTTGATGAGGTTCAGCATGAATATTTGTCACTGCCGTCGTATTTATGACCTAGACCATTTTTGTTTTTTGAGACAAGGTTTCTCTGTGTGGCCCTGGTTGTCCTGGAACTCGAACTGTAGACCAGGCTGGCCTCGAACTCACAGAGATCCACCTGCCTCTGCCTCCCAAGTGCTGGGATTAAAGGCGTGCGCCACCAACGCCTGGCTCTACCTAGACAATTTTTATACATCAAGCCTCACCCTGATCTTCTGAATAGTATTTCTTTTATGAATTCTATGTCTGAGTTTGTATGTCCAGTCACATGTTTGTGAATGTTTCTGTTATCTCCAGATTAGCTGATTCGAATAAAGCAGATGGAAGCATTTGCTTACAATTCTTTTAATAAACATGCACTTTCATTTATTATAAGAAATACGTAGTAGTAGAATCAGTGAATCTCATAAGCAAATATTTAATTTTGTAACTGCCAGGCTGTTGTACAAGTGGCCATATTATTTAATTTCACTAGCAATGTAAGAAACTTTTATTTGTTCCATGTCCCATTAAAACTATTGTCATTCCTTTTTTTTAATATTTGTTTTTTTTCTGGTGTGTGTGTGTGTGTGTGTGTGTGTGTGTGTGTGTGTGTGTGAATGCATACATTAGTGCAGTGCCTGCAAAGGCCAGAAGGGGGTACCAGATCACCTAGAATTTACAGAAAGATTTGTGAGCTGCCTGTCATGGGAACAGAACTCTGGTCCTTTGCAAAAGTGGTATAAGTATTTGACACTTGAGCCATCACCTCAGCCTCTTTTGTTAGTCATTTGTGTTTAATTACATATTTAGACAGTGAGTCATGGTATCAAATTAAGGCTTTGTTTACACAGAAAAGGGCATTGCTATCTACAAATTACATTTTAATTTTAGGTGCGTTTAGTCACATGTTGGCTATATTAAGTTCTTCCTTTCATCCCTCAGCCTGGCCTGGTGCCTCATCCTCCATTGTGAGCCACCATGCCTGGCATTAAACAATTGAAGGGACTCTGGCCAGCCCAGATGTAGCAAACATGGCTCAGGCAGGCCTTGCCATTCCCTCCATGTAGGTGAAATTTTCCTTCTCAACCAACAGTTCCCAAATAAAGACATGGAGACTTAATGTTAATTGTAAGTGCTTGGCCATTAGCTCAGACTTGTTACTAGCTAACTCTTACATTTTAAATTAACCCACATTTCTTATCTGCCCTCTGCCATGTGGTGGTACTTTCTTTCCACACCGCACGCTCCTCTGGCTTCTCTTTGCGTCTCTCGAGACTCCTCAGACTCTGGCATCCTTCTTTCCAGCATTCTCCTAGTCTGACTCTCCCACCTAATCTCTTCCTGCCCAGCTATGGGCCAGTCAGGTCTTTTATTAAACCAGTTAGAAGGTGCCTTGGCAAAGACACATCTTCACAGTGACAAAAAAGATTTTTCTATAACACCTCTGCCTTGCTAAAAACTGTTAGATCACATTCCTAAAGCTAGCCACCAAGGTCTTGTTGGGCCCAAAAGTGAAGCCAAACTCCGGGAGATGCGCCCCACAGAGTCACTCACAGGACACAAGTTCGATGCAAAAGCAAAAGGATTTTATTCCAAAGCTTTGGGGTCGTTCCCTGGGACGAGAATGGCCCCAAGTTTCCAAAGCAGGCAGTTTTTATGTCTTTTTGGTCACTAGGCAGGAGTATGACAACATATTGATTGGCTATAACATACATGAGTCACTTACTGATTGGCTGGGAAATGAACTTACAATTTTGCCCACGAGGGGCTTGGAATGTTATTTTGGTTTTTACACCTGCAAGGCCATGAGACAGCTAATGGTTTTTCTGGGAACAGAGTGACTTATACTTATTTTCAAAACTTGGGTGCTCTGGAGCAGGGTAACCAGTAACAGTTTTTAGAAACCAGACAGTTGTTGAGGATAACATTCCTTGGAAACTAGTAATAATAATTTCCAGAGACTGGTCATCATGACTGACCATTTCATGTGTTCTTTGTCCCAGAGCTATGTGTGCAGCCAGAGTGATTTTCAAATACATGCTGGTGGGTGTCAGGCTGGGTTGAGTTGGGGGTCTTTCAGTCTATTCCCTTATTTGGCTACTTCCTCTCCCGAGGCTGACCACCAAGCTCCAGTTATCCAAGTATTGACGTCCAGCAATCAAAAGCCCCCTTTGGCTCACCTAATTAACATGCCCAATTAAAGTTAAGCACCTCATCCTAATGGGGGTTTCCCCTTGTGCCTTTATAAGCTGGCATTTGCCTATGAGTCTGTCTCCCCTCTACCCAGCTCCTTTATCCCTCAGGGACAAATACCATTGCCCCCCTCCCCCTCGTCCCCATTCTCCCTCTC